TTTTTAACAATCTATCTCTATCAAAAAATTAACGATATTATCTTCAAATGGAAGTCACTAACTTGAGGCCTCCAACAAGCAGCAATGGCACTGACGCTGTGAGTAGCTCTTTCGATTTCATAAAGGAAGAAGACTTCCCAGTAATGACACATGCCCTGAAAGAGAAAGCAGCACTTACAAATTGTAAACGGACGAAAAGAAATTCATCTGTAAAAAGATGCAGAAAATAACTTTTCAGATGATCAATCTCACTGAGATGAACTGTGGCCATCGTTCATTCACCCAACGTCAAAGGTAAACGACATTTCACGTGGCAGCTTAGGCTGCAAGAACTTTAGTTTCAGTACCATATCTCAGTACAAATGTTTCAAAAACCCTAGCAAATCCACTAGCAATACCAGGTAGAGATTTTAAAAAAGCTCTGTAACGTGCTTGTGTGTTAACAACACTTGCAACAACAACAAAAAAATTTTTTTGGGATTTCATTGCGAACTTGACACTGTTTTCACGACTTAAACAATTATCAAAGAGACCAGCATTTTCCCTCAAGTCCTATTATTTATTCAGTTCCAGGAAGATGAGTGATTTCTAGACAAATTTCATTGCGTCATTCGAATTGATCGTCATTTAACGTGATCAATTATGCTTTCTAATTTATAAACATTTTGAATTATCCAACCTATTATCGGACTTTCAACGGCAACGAGAAAAGCAAAGGAAAAAACTTCTTTTGACGCACAACAAACAGTCAAAGAAACATTTTCCCGTAATCAGGTTTCAATAGCAACGATTACAACCCCTAATAGTGCCCAAAAATTTACAATACCATGACAATACCTGTCCGTAAGATTTAGAAGATCAAAAATCAAGAAAAAAAAAAGCTCATTCCGCAATAAAGCTATTCCAGAGAAAATGTAAAAAAGAGGAGAACCAAAGAAAAAAACCAGAAAAATTGTCAAAAAAAAAAAGATAACAAGCAATCACCATCACCATCACTAACAACAGCAAAATATTATTCGGTAGTTACTTTAATCATCAAAGCATCATTTGAATTTACTGCAATCGATAATACTATAAAAGTCAACAATTATCGACCAACTTCTGTTCATGCTAAAAATTCGGTCCTCCAATCAAAATGCAACTCATGAGCAAAAAAAAAAAAAAAAAAAAAAAAAAAAAAAAAA